TATATATTTTAACATATAAAATAAGGTGGCTTTTCCATTCAGCTTCTGTTTCCTAACTGGATTACTGAGTTCTTGATGTAACCCCTTAATAATTAGGGCCAAAAAAGTATAGTCTTATGTATGTTGAAAAAGGTCTTTAGGTCATTCCAGTACTTCTAGCTGAAAATCATTGATTTAGTTTTAAGTTCTGCCTATTACAACAAGAGTTCTCCATCCTCGTTACATGTTAGTAGTGTCAGGGAAGACTTAAAAATTACCAGTGCCTGGGTCCCTCTCCAGACCTTTAACCTGGAACTCATGGGTGGGGCTTGAGCATCCACTTTTAAAAATGTTTTCCAGTGATTCCAATGTCTAGCTATATTTTCCATCAGATTTCTCTGATTTCTTGTGGCCTTCACTTTTTTTCTATTTTGGTATCATGACTATTTTCAGGTCTCATTTCCTGTCTTAGGCTTTATATCCCCTGGGGTAGCGACCTTGCCATCTTCATTTCTGTATCTTTTTTGAACACATGAATTGGTCATCAGGAAAAGGTCTCAAGCACACATAGGTTTTGTTCTGAGTCTCAGGTTCACAGGCTAATCCTAAAGTCTTTGTTCTCCACGAAGTCAGAGATTGCTTGTGATGAAGGGTGTGGTTAAGTCTGTAGTGCAGATGGTGGAGGGGAGTTCACCTTGTTTTCAGGCTTAGCATTGGGACTAAGAATTTTATGTCTATATGGGTGAAGGGGTAGGGATGTGTAGGAAGTCAGTTCTGATTAAGATGGAGGAATTATACTAGGAAGTAGAGGTAAAGGCAGTGAGAAGGATTAGCAAACAGAAGAAATGTGAACTTACAAAGAGGCTAGAGTAGACCCTTGGAGATTCTTGTTTAAGTGAATTAACTAGATTTTAGAAAGGTTATGAGGCAGTCATATGCAAGGAAGGTTTCAAAGTCTGGAGACAAGAAGTCAAGCAACACTTTGAGAAGTGGTTGGTCTTTATGGGAATGGAGAGAATTACACTATTGAGAGATGTGAAAAGTAATGAAGAGGGTTTCACAATGTGAAATTGTGTTTCTCGTTTGAATCTGAGAAACAAATGAGCAGAGGCTGGAGACAATTATGTCTAAAAGATAGTGGGGTACAGGGAGCAGAAAGGTCAGGGAGAAAGGGAACTGCAGGAATTAGTGCTGAGAAACAGGAGTTTGGTGGAGGAAGGAGGAGATCCAGTCCCAGATACAGGCAAATAAGTATTTTCCCTTTCCCAAGCATGGCAGTCAGCCCTGCAGGAAACAGGACAAGAGAAAAGGACATCATACCTGCCAGTCTTCCTGAAATACAGAAATGACATCATGGTTGTTGTTTCGGAATAACCCAAGTTAGATATCCTCTTCCTAAAGGAGCTGTCATGGAAAGAAAGAAAACAAGGAATGGAGGTGATGTTATTTTACTGGGGGAAGCCTCAGGAACAAGCATGTAACACGAGGTACTCTATAATTGTTTCTTCAAATAATATATTATTTCTGTTGTAAAGTTGATGGGAGATGGTTATATTCTTGCAGATTTTTTCCCCTCTCACTATGTTTCTAAGTTGGTGATCAGTCCTTTGTCAATTCTCAACAGCACGCGATATTTCAGAAGGGTTTCAGATGGGAGAAAGGCTGATTGCTATTTTCTATGTCGTTAGAACTTTCCACTTTTCCACCTTTTCATGGTTGCATCTTTTTCTCAGTGTCTCTGTGGTGGTAGCCATGAATGAGACCCTGCCGGGTCTTCGTGGCAGGGACATGATTGACAGAAGGCCCAGGTCAGTGCATTTCAAATTCACCAAGTCCTTTGCACAGAAAGCTTCCTTCCCACAGGCTCCCAGCAAGGGTGTGAAAGCAAGCCTAGTTCTCTGTGGCTCTGTTTAACTTTAATGGGAAACTGGTTGGAGGACTCCCCATCAACCATGCAAAAACTCTCTTAGAAATATATTAATACCTAAAACTTCTTTCTCTTTCTTTTTCACGGGAGTCAGCTTTGCATAGTGGTCTGTGAGTTCTCCCATACTACCTTCATGCCTGCCCCACATTCCCTCAGAGGTGTCTTCCCTGATGAATTATCTTATATGTCTAATCCCATCCTGGATGCATCTCAGTTGGTAAAAACTAACATACCAGGTTTGATTCTTTGCACTTAGTTTGTTTGCTTTCTCTCTCACAAGTAGTCAGGAACCATGTCCTAGTGTTTTATGTGTTACCTCTTTTTCTACATATATATGGAAACAGGTACTTCCATTTAGTATTTGGAATAATATTTAATATTTGGAATACTATTAGTATTCCAAATAGTATTTCCATTTTGCCGATGAAAAGACAGAAGCTTAGAGTAGTGTAAAATCTTTCCTGGTGTCGTATGGCTAGTAATAGGTGGATCTGAGATTTGGTGCTGGGACTATTTGACCTCAAGACTAATGTGATGGTAGTAATATAGCAGCTGAGATTGGTTCGCCTGTGTGTGGCATCTTGTTTCATTGACTGCATGAAAGCTTTAAAAGAATGGTATGAAGCAAGCTCCCTCATACTTCAGGATTTGAAAGAAGAACAAACTAAACCCAAGCACAGTGAATGAAGGAAACAATAAGGATTAGAGTGGATAAAAATAAAATGGAGAATGGAAAAAAATAGAGTAAATTAATGAAACCGAAAGTTGATTCTTCAAGTTAAAATCAACAAAATTGACGACCATTAAGTAGACTGACTAAGAAAAAAGAGAGATTAAAATTACTAAAATGAGAAACGAAAATGGAGTCTGAATATGACAGGTCATAGTTTAATCCTAGCACTTTGGAAGGTCACAATGGGAGGATTTCTTGAGGCCAGGTGTTTGAACCAGCATAGGTAACCTGGGGAGACCCAGTCTCTACAAAAAAAGAAACAAAAATCAATTAGCTGGGCATATTGGCATGCATCTGTATTCCTAGTATCTTGGGAGGCTGAAGAAGGAGAATTGCTTGAGCCCAGAAGGTTGAGGCTGTGGTAAGCCATAATCACACCACTGTATTTCAGCCTGGGCTAGCCTACAGAGTGAGAGCCTGTCTCTCTCTCTTACAGAAAGAAAGAAAGAAAGGAAAAAGAAAATGAAGTGATTACTACCAGTTCTAATAAAATGATTATGAAATTACTGGAAATAATTGTATTCTAATAAATTGGATAGCCTAGATGAAATAGACAAATTCCTAGAAAAACACAAAAATATGAATAGAGCTATAATCAGTAATAACATTGAATCAATATATGCATTTGATCAAATTCAATGTTTTTTCACAGTAA